CAATAGATAAACCTTTCCTTAACTTTTACGACATTGACATTTTTGAAGAGTATTACCTCCCTTTTTTTAAAATAGCACTTTGCTCATTTGGGGTTTGTCTGGTGCGTTCTCAGGATGAGATTCTGGTTACGGATGCTTGGCTGGAATGCTGCATAGGTACCCACCATCATTCTTTTAAGTACTTTCATGTCTGTGCTTTTCAAGGTATCAAACAGCTGGAGGTACACTGTCTGTCTGTCCTTTATTGACATTGTTAATTTTGATCACCCAGTCAGGTGATCAAAATTATGATCAGGATGTTGTCTGGCTTTTCCACTATATAATTACTGTCTTTTCTCTTTTATAACTAATAAACCATCTTGGGAGATACTCTAAGACCATATAGATACCCTCTTCCTTATAAAAAATTCCCTTTAGATTTGGAATTCATGGATGATTCTTGTCTGATTCAATATTTATTATTTATCAGTATGGACTCTTGAATTACATTTTTTTTCAATAGTTTATAATTTATTACTGTATTTAATTATTTTGGTTTTCAAGTTATCCAAGATTTGGACAATGGAAGTCCCTTTAAATAGGCTCCTGTACCCTTATAGCATGCCCACCATCATTATTTTCAGTACTTCTGTTTTTTGACACAATAAGGTGTGTACCATCTTGTAGCATCATCTTGTATCTACCCTGCCCAGCTCTGGAATCATCCATTTTCCTAAGGAGACTGTTTCTTTAGAGGGAATGGTATTAGAGACCAAGAGCTGGGCATTAGATGTGCTGTTTTCTGCTGAGATTTCTTTGTTTGTCAAGAGAATACTGTTTTCTTTTGGATTTTAGTTACCCTTTTTCATTTTGAGAAGAAATTCTTTTTTCTAGAGAAAAATCTCTTTCTCTTATGGGGAGAAGTTTGTATGTAGTGAGATCATAGAAGCCAGTGTGTCTCACATAGTAAAGTTGGGTTTGTAATTGTTTCTGTTTTAGAAATGGAATCATTAAACTAGTAAAAATGAAAAAAGTAAACCAATTAATGGATAAAGTACTAGAAATATTATTTTTTAGTTGGAAATGTTTTGAAATGTTTTCTAGGAGCATTCTTTTTTCCTGGTGCTTCTTTAACATAATTGTCTATCTGCAATGGTTATGTTCTCGTATCTAGTTTTGTATTTGATTTGTTTATTTTATTCAGGTCTGCAGAAGTTATTTCTAGTACTTTTCTAAAGACTTATAACACTCTTTTTTTTTAGGCTATCAAAAGGCATAATCTGACTAAAAGATGGCTTATGAAGATCATTGATGAAAGAGTAAGTTGAAGTTAGTCAAGTTTTAGTTTTTTTTTTTTCCTTTTTAATCTTTAAGCTGGCTCTTTAGGAAGGAAATGTTTTCGTATGTGTAATAATATTTTGGAAGGAGGAAATTTAAATAACAATGCCATTATATGCACATTTCATCCCTGCACGTCAGCTACTGCAGTCTTTCCCCAACACCTGCACACTATCAGGCAGAGATAGGCACGGAGGCAGAGTCATGCGTGTGCACAGACACACTCAATGTTTTGTTTTATTTTAATGGGAAATTTCAGACATATACAAAAGTATAGCAAATAATATACTTTCAGGTATCTTTTGTACAGCTTTAATAGTTATCAGTGTGTCTGATCTTGTTTCTTGTATACTCTCTTCTCTCCAGCTGTCATTTGATTGTTCAAAATAAATCTCAGACATCATATTTGATCTGTAAATATATGTGTATCTTGAAAAGATAAGAACTGTCAAAAAACAAAACCACAATATACTTTAAAAATTAATATTGATTTTTTTAATATCCTCAAATAGCCCATACACAAAAATTGGTTGTGTTTCTATACACTTGCAATGAACAATTAAAAAAGAAGTTAAGTGAACAATTCCATTTAAAATAACTTGAAAAGAATGAAATACTTAGAAATAAATTTAACAAAAAACATATAAAGCTTATATTCTAAAAAGTGTAAAGCACCATGTACAAAAAGAAGATCTAAATAACTGGAAAGACATCCCTTCTTCATGTTTTAAAACACTTGATATTGTTACATAGCAATATTCCCCAAATTGATACACAAACTCAATGCAATTCCTGTCAGATCCCAGCTAGCTTCTTTAGAGATTGACAAACGGGCCTAAAATTCACATGGAAATTCAAGGGACTCAGAACAGCCAGGAAAATCTTGTAAAAGAAGAACAAAATTGGAGGACTCATACGTCCTGATTTCAGAGCTTACTGCAAACAAGACAGTGTGGTGCTGGCATATAAACATAGAGATAAATGGGTTAGAATTGAAGAATCCAGAAATTAACTTTGTGTTTATGGACTATTGATTTTTTTATAAGGCTGCCAAAACAATTCAATGGGAAAGAATGTCCTTTCCAATGGATGGGCTGGGACAACTAGGTATCCACAATGAAAAGAATGAGAATGGACCCCTACTTCATACCATCCACAAAAATTAACTCCAAATGGATCAACAACCTAAATGTAAGAGCTTAACATATAATACTCATAGAAGAAAACATAGGGGAAATCTTTGTGATCTTGACTTTGGTGATGGCTTCTTAGGCATGACATTAAAAGCACAAGAACCAAAAGGAAAAATAGACTAGTTGGACTTGGAAAATTAAGAACTTTTATGCTTCAGAGGATATCAGGAAAGCCCAAAGACAACCCACAGAATGGGAGAACATATTTGCAAACCTTGCATCTGTTAAGGGATTTGTATCTAGAATATTTTTTTTAAAAAAATCTTGTAAAAAAAAAAATTCTTATAGCTCATTAATAAAAAGACAACTCAGTTAAAAAAGTGGGCAAAAGATCTGACGAGACAGTTTTTTGAAGAAAATACACAGATGGTTAGTATGAACATGAAAAGATATCTTCAGTAGTCATCAGGGAAATGCAAAACAAAACTACAGTGACATACTACTACACACCTATAGGGTGGTGATGATAAAAAAGACAGGTTCATCTACATGGTAGTATATACTTCCTACTTTTTTTTTAATGGCTGAAAAAAAGCCTTTGTATGGATGTATACTATGTTTTGCTTATTCATGAAATTTTATTGCTTATCTGATGAAATTTAACTCAGCCATAAAAGTGGAAAAAAGTACTATATATACAGTACTGCATCTACAGCACAGATGAACTTGCCTGTCATCACCATCCTAGCGGGTGTATATCACTGTGGGTATGTTTTGTATTTCCCTGATGATTTATGATGTTGGGTATCTTTGAAACCTTCATGCTAAGTGAAATAACCCTGACATGGAAGGCCACATATTCTATGATTCTATTTATATGAAATGTCCAGAACAGACAAATCCATAGAGATGTAAAGTAGATTAGTGGTTGCTGGGAAGTGGTATTGGGGAGCAGTTAATGGGCATGACTGCTAATAGGTGCAAGGTTTCTTTTTGGAATGAAGAAAACAGTCAGAAATTAGGTAGTGATGATAGTTGCACAACTTTATGAATATGCTGAACTGTGTTCTTTAAAAACGTGAATATTATGGTCTGTGAATTATACACAATTTTTCAAAATGAGCTGAAAATATTTTTTTTCTGCACAAGTCCATTACAACTGCTAGTTTCTCCTAATTAAGTTTTTTTTTCTTTTTACTTAGACAATGGACTCTTAATAAAGTGGATATATTTTCTTGTTCTAAGATTTTCATTTTTCTGTTTCTTGAATATAGATACTTAACCCTATTACTTTATAGGACTGGTGTCTTTTAGGGGAGGCTATTATTATTCTCCAAGTGGAATAGTTATTAAGCGATTGTCTGCTAACAGATAGGTTGGCAGTTTGAACCCACCAGCTGCCCCTCTGTCCTGTAGGGTCATAATGAGGCAGAATTGACTCTACTGTAGCAGGTTTGGTTTTGGTATGTTTGGTTGCTGTTATTCTCCTTTCTTTTTCTACATGCCTTTTCCTCATTAAGAACATGAGCATTAAAGTCAAAATGTGTCTGTGCAAATTCCAACCCCACTACTTAAGAGCTGTGTGACCTTGAGCATGTTGCTTGATGTGTCTGTACCTGAATTTCCTCATCTGCAAAATGAAAATAGTATTAGATCATTATCTTCTGGGGTTATTGTTAAGGTTAAGAAGATACTGTATAAAGTACTTAAGTAGGAGTTCAGTAAAGTCAATTTCTTCTGATATCTTGGACTTCAGAAGGAATTGAGTATTAAGCCAATCCTGTGTCAAGATGACTTGTGGGTTGAGATTATTCTTGGAGGAGTATTTTGGAAGATGGTTTGTAAGTATTGAATGTGTGAAACATTGACATTTTAATCCTATTTTATTCTGTACTAAACAGTATATATATTGAATAATACTTTTATTCATCATTATTCAGTTCTTTCCTCACTGCCAAAGGGGCAGGGAGGTCACATCTTCTGAGCTCCTCTAACCCCACAAGAGGAAGACAGAATCACTATCAGTAGCCCAAGGCCTATTCCTGCAAGGCCAAACGTGCTGCCTCCTTCTAGCCCTTTCACCAACTGTTCCTCCCACAGCACCTACCACCTCTCTGCTGGGTTCAATAATTCACTGCAGTGGCCATGCAGAACTCACAGATTATGGGGTTTATTATGGAATCACCAGGCTACAATTCAAATTCAGGGAAAAATGCTCAGTCTCTCTCAGCCCGCCGTCTCCAACGAATAGTCTCTCTCAGTTTCTCTCCCAGCAGTGCTTGTCTCTCGGTGTCTCCCTCTTAGCAATGCATGTCTCTCGGTGTTTCTTTCTCATCAACACGTGTCTCTCAGGAGCATGTTTCTCTCAGCAGTGTATCTTTCTCATCCAGCAATCAGAGAGACCTCTTCTGCCTCTAGGAGGGCTCCTTTTGAGCCTGGCATAGTAACCACTAACCAATCCCAACATCAGAATTCTATACACCTGAGAGAGAGCGAACTTCCCAGAAGATTGCCTCACTCTGGTTCAACAGAAATACCCCGGGTGGATAACTTTTACAATCAGGAGCTCCTCAGCTGCTCACAGCAAATTCCACCACAGGAATTTACAAAGACTGATGGCTAGAAAAGCCATACCAGGTAATTTACTACACTGCACCCACCCACTGCCATCGAGTCGGATCCAGCTCATAGCAAACCCCTCTGGGTTTCTCAGGCTGTATCACTATCAAAATAGATTGCCCAACCTTCCTTCTGAGGAGTATCTGGGGGTTTGAACTGCCGGCCTTCTGGTTAGCAGTCAAATGCCTTGGCACTATACCACCAGAGCTCCCAGCTCTTTAGGGCAAAAAAATTTCTTTACAGTTCAGCAGACTCTATTTGCATTTTGTTTGACTATAGGAAAAAAATTTGGATGACAAAATGTATCGTAATATCCAGGAACTGGAAACTTATGCTGAAAACACACAAAGCTCTCTTCTTTATTTAACACTAGAAATACTGGGTAAGTTTTCTTCTTATTTTATATTTCTCTTTCCCAGGAAAACACCTTTTAGATTTTACTTTTTCATAATTTGATAATCTACCCATTGGGAAGTTAATATATATTCATGTCACCCTAAAAGAATGGTATAAGTCCCCATTGGGATTCCCAGGCCTGTTCTGCCTGTGTACTCATTGACATGTTTTCCAGCATAGTGAAAGGAGGGAGCAAAGAACAGAGTGTTTATTTGTTAAGCATATACTTAAAATGAGGTCATACGGAAATTACATTAGGAGAAGAAGTGGAACACTTGCAATGTTTTTCCCTGATATTTGATTAAAATTCCAGGTGTGTTCTTGGTGTAGTCTGAGGAAAACTCTTTTATTTAAAAATTGAGGTTCTGAAACCTGTTAGTGGTAGCTGTCCAGCTTGTCTTTGTGCCCAGTTCTCTCATAAATCCTGTTTTTAATATATAAAACATAGAAGAACCACCTACTTTTACATGTTTAGGTTATTTCTCAATGCTGTTTCTGTTGATTTGTTATGCACTTAAAAAAGAATAGAGCAATTTCTTATTTACTTAATTTCCAAAATCATAGGTATAAAGGATCTTCATGCAGATCATGCTGCAAGTCACATTGGAAAAGCACAAGGCATTGTCACTTGCTTGAGAGCAACCCCCTATCATGGCAGCAGAAGAAAGGTGTTCCTTCCCATGGATATTTGTATGCTGGTAAGGCTGTAATTTGTACCTTCTACAATTTACCTCAGGAATACAGTGAGGGAAATTATCTCTTGGTTCTTTGCTTAGTTCATTAAAGTAACTTCTTTGAAACTAATGCTAATTGCTTACAGCAAATAGTCTTCCATTTTTGCTCCCAGGTTACCAAGGCAGAATTTCATCTATCAGTCCTTTTAGGTCTTGGGAGGAGCCATGAGAAAGAGGGTCCAGAGAACCTCATTTGGTACAGTTTCATGAGCTTTACTCCTTCCCAAACAGTTACAGAAATTATTCCTCATATTCCCACTGGCCTGTTCTTTATTTCATCTTCTAATGAAGGGAATAGGAGCTCTGGTAGCATAGTGGCTAAGGCACTTGACTGCTAACCAGAAGGCTGGCGGTTCAAACCCACCAGCCACTCCTCGGAAGGAAGGT